TATTTGAAAACCTTCATGCCAACTGTACCTTGACTTTTCAATGTCTTTCTGCAGCCTTACGAAGTAGGAAGTTGTGCTTTTCCTTCTTTCATTTCATATTTACACTCGTGAGTCCTTTTCTGAGCCGTCATGCTTACATATTATTCTCCATCACTCTACAGCCACCCAGAGCTCCCTAGCTGGGGTCAGAGAAAGCAGAGGGTTGTGTTTTTTTTCAGCGTGGTTGTATTTAGTTCATATGATGCAACATTGTCCTCAGGATGTAACGGTCAGTTTGACCTCCTTGCAAACACCGAGCAAGTATGTGAGAAAACATTTTACAAGCCGTGAGAGGATTCCTGGGGGCTCTCAGCAGAGCAGCAGAGTTTTCCTTGGCCGGCGGCGGTGAGGACCAGACCGTGCTGCTGACTGTAGCGGCGTATGAAGAGCAGCCTTGTAAGCAGGAGAGGTCACCATAGACTGGGCTCACTCACTGGTTTTCCACATCATTTTATTTCATTTGCTTTTATGAAAACTTGAAAGGTATTTATTTAGGTCGCTGCTTCCGCTGTAGCCTTCGTGACACACCTCAACTTCATGTCTGCAGCCTTCAGACTTAAGTACGGAGCGTGCACCGTGGCTGGGCTGTAAGCGGGGTCTCCTGGTTTGACAGAAGTTGCAGTATCCTGGCAGGGCAGGGAAAGACAACATGTCGTATTTTTTGTTTTGATTGTGAGAGAAAGGCTGGTTTTGTGGCTTCCCATAGATTAATGGATGATTAATGGAAAGATGTTTGCAAGGCATGTATGTAGTTGAGTTGTGATTCCTGATTTTAAATTGTTAGGGATACTAAGAGTAGCCGTACATCCATGGCAGAATCTGGTGTTTCTGTAATTTTTGGTTGAGACATTGAAGATTAAGAAACAGGGAATGCTTTGAAGCCCAAGAATTATTTCTTTTTTAAAAAAACTTCGGTGTTCCTTCTACTGGACAAAATAACCCTTTGGTTTCACCCAGTACTCTTAGGACTTTATAGTAGTAGGAAAAACAATCAAGCTCTCAAGTCTACAGTCACATCTTTTTGTATATGGCACAGTATTTGCAATGAGTTAAAGACATTAACTTAAGTAAATTGTTTATTGTTCTACAAAAAATACTTTAAAGTTTGCTCTGCTTATGACAGCACTAAAATTCCCAGAGGATTTTTGTATCCTTGAAATATTCAGGGTCACCTACAGCAGGCTGCACAGGACCTTGTCCAGGCGGGTCTTGAATATCTCCAGAGAAGGAGACTCCACAACCTCCCTGGGCAGCCTGTTCCAGTGCTCCGTCACCCTCAGAGGGAAGAAGTTCTTCCTCATGTTCAGACGGAACTTCCTGTGCCTCAGTTTGTGCCCATTGCCCCTTGTCCTGTCGCTGGGCACCACTGAAAAGAGCTTGGCCCCATCTTCCTGACACCCACCCTTCAGATATTTGTAAGTATATACTAGGTCCCCTCTCAGCCTTCTCTTCTTCAGGCTGAACAAGCCCAGCTCCCTCAGCCTCTCCTCGTAGGAGAGATGTTCCAGTCCCCTCACCATCCTTGTAGCCCTAACTCATGTGCCTACTTCCTCTTATGACATGTATGAACGTGCTACGGCAAATAAAAGAGTTCGTTTGTTATTAACTTTAAAACCATTTATTAATAACATGTCTTTGATATATTTCTGATAGATCAGTAGTCTGGCTTGTTGACTGATTAATAGATGAGGGCATGTTGTGATTTTTATATGAAAGACAATTTTAATGAAGAGGGAAGTAGACGTTGCCGATTTACCAATTCAACCAGAATTGTAGCAATAGAAAAATATAGTACTGTTAAAAAGAAAGCTAGTTTCTGTGATTAATTGCAGCCCCAGGGCTGGTTCCTGGGCATCCCTCTGCCCTGCTGGAGACAGAAGCCCAGCAGGATGTGAGCGTTGGGGATTGTAGCCAGGAGCTGAGAAATAAAGTAAAAATCCTCTTTCTTTATTGTGGAGGTGTATGATCAAAGTAGCTCTCTTTCTTTTTTTCTGTATCTTTCTAGGCTGTGTTTCAATAATTTTTTTTAAAAGGCTCCTTCAGTGATTTAAATGAGCAAGGCTGTTATCTGTCACCTTGCAATTTTTTATCACACATAAAAACCTTTCTGCCCTGAAAGATCCCTGTCCTGCTGAGGAGACATGCTCTTACTGGGAAATGTGGCATTAATGTTGCTTGGGCTAACAGAATAATGCTGCCTAGAATAATGTGATTTCACCTTAGCTTTCCGTGCTCAGAAGAAACAGAAATTCCTGTGACTCCTGCTAGCAACTGACAAGCAGCCTCCTTCAGGCCAAGCTTTCTTTCACCCCACCTCTTGGTTAAAAACTGTGGTTTCACATCCTGTGGAGCTGCATAATTAGCATCAAGTAAAATCTCCTCTGAGAGGGTGGCTGATGGCTGGTGATTTATTTCACAAATTACGAATACATGAGAATAGGAGAGGCAAGCAGGTGCTGCAAATGCATCAGGACGCTCCAGCAGCTCTAATGTCGGTCACAGCAGTGGTGGTAAACGGAGACTGGAAAGGGGCAGTGCTTTCACCATGGGGTAAACCTGGTGCTTCTGATGTCAGGAACGTGAAATGTGTGCCATTGTGTGGCAAAAAATTGTGGGTTCATGTGAAAGCATGCCTGGCCTTGATCTTAAATCTAGAGTGCATCAATGAGGAGAGGGGAAGATTTTTCTCTCTCATCCTATTGCTTTCCTTCCACAAATCAAATTCAAAGGGAATTGCCACTCAGTAATTTAGATTAGTGCCATCCCTCTTGTTTCAGTGATCCTACAGTAGTTAACCCTAAAAAGGAATAGTAAAAATCTCATTTTGACTAAATATAAGCTGTTCACTTGTTAAAGCTGCAGGATTTTCCATGTGGATTTACATTGCTTTTATTCTATGGATGTTTCTCCAGTTATATTAACCAAATATTGGTTTCATTTTTACGTTGGCTATTCCTACTTACTTATTTCAGGGAATATTTTCTGGCTAGCTGTATTCATTGTTCTTGCAAGTTTCTTTGTTGTGGGTTGATGTCCATTACCCTTCGTATGGGAGTGAGAAAAGAGGAATGGTTCTCGGTTGGGTGTTACTAATGATTTTTAAGTCTTATGTAGGTGTTTCTGCCTTTCAATTAATCCATCAATCAAGTGGGAGCTGGCTTGGACGTAGTTTAAGGTATTGTCAGGACAATATTTCAGATTTTTTAAAATCCAAGCAATTTATGAATTCATTGTGGGTCTCTGCAGGTTCTTACAGAACCCGAAAATATGTATCCCTGAAAACATCTTTGGTGGTGTCTATAGTAAAAGCACAATAACCCTTTAAAGAACTGCAGTTTTTAATTCATCTTAAAAAAACCTCTTGGGATGATAGGAGGGACACATTGCCTGTACCACCAGTAGATATCTTAGTAATATTCATAGCATTGGGAACAAAAGGGGCTGGTTAGCTTCAGCTCAGAGCCTTGAATGTCAAAATGCAGGTCTTGACCATAAATCTTCTAGTACGTATTTAAGGCAAGCCCTTCTCAGTATGCCTGGATACACTGAGGGGAGCAGGGAGAGGGTTTTTTATATCCCACCTGGCAGGTTTTGTGTTGTTTTCTTTGATGGTTCCTCACTATGTGATTTACCTCCCAGCCCAGGATCTTCTGACACGCTTATAAAATCTGATTTACCTAAATGTAAGACAGGGGAGGAAACAGGAATGTACTTTAAGAAGACTTACAGACACAAGCATGACACTAATGAAGCTAGGCATGAGGACTGAAGTTCTCGGAAGAG